TATATATATATATAAATTCAATTTTACATTTTGAGACTAAGAAGCAGCTGGTATATAAGATAATATACCTTCAGCCAGTTCAGTTTTATTTACAATGGTCCAGAAGGAATACCTCAAAAAAGAATGATTTGGGTGCTGGGTAAAAAGGCAAAGAAACACAGGCTTTTAACTTGTAACTAAGCTTCACATTTTATTACTCCTAATCTACATTCATCTGCTTTCTACTTCAATCACTATTAGCAGTCCATCTGACATATTTGTGGACCAGCATCAGAAAAATAAAGATTCCTGTGCCTAAGCACTGTCTCACGAAGATGTATCGAGTGAGTGTAGCTTCAATATTATCTTCATGCTCTGGCCTCTTTATCATGGGGTTAGAGCCTTTATAAAAAGCTGGGTAACCCCCAGACCTGGTCAGGATGTGGTGTCAAAGAGAAAAATCCATGCCCTGCATTCACCCAACCTGCAGTGTCACTTTACTCAGCTAAATTAGAAAGTTGTTTCTTTTTTTTAAAAAAAAAAGGTCTTGAAAGCTTGTATATACAATCTAGTAGATTGAAAAAGTACCTTTAAATATACTGTAAGAGACCAGTGATCTATGGTTAAATAAATCCAAAGCCATCAAAGGATGACAATGGTTTTAATTTTGTAAGAGAAAATTAATTTTCTTTATGAAAATGGATGTTTGTGAACCCAACAATTCTGTGGCAATGTGTATGGAATTACATGTAGGACAATTACTATAATTTTTCTTTTACATGGACTTTAGCTTTGCACACTCAGTTGTAATGTGTAACAATGTGACACAACACATTTTCAACTTCTGTAGACAAAAGATCACGTGTTTTCTTACAGTAATACAGCTCTTATCTGTAACCTAAATGGAATAAAGTGTCACAGAATTGAGGTTATCACTGTAATGTAAAAGAACTCACCTACTTTACTAAAAGATACAGTTGGCTGGAGCACAAACACACACTTCATATTTATATAAATATCAACCATGGATATATCATGTTATCAAAAAAATTCACTTCATGAAATAACCACTGGATACAATAAATACCATTCTTGTCACATGGCCACCTTTGCAACAACCTATACCTTGAGGTCACTTATCAATACAAAGATCACAGTCATTATGTTATACTATTGACTCTCACAGATGTCTGGCCTATCAACATGGGTGCTTTCTGAAACTTGCAATCAAGCACAGGGAAGAATGACCAGAACTAATAAGTTAGAAGGGATAAGGAATTTAATATTATTTTGTTCCTCTAGGGAGTCCAGTGTGACATTTAATAGAAGAGCTTACTTGACCAGAAAACTTCCAAAAATTGATCCATTCATAAAAATAAAATGAGTTGGCACCTTTGGAGCAATACCAACATTTTTCAAATTGATGGCCCAGATGTGAATGCCCTTAAGATTGCAATCAGTTGCCACTTTCAAGGACTTTCATTAAAAATTAATTAATTGGGATTCTCAAGTTTTCTTTTCTACTCCCATTTTAAAATATGTCATTGTATTTTCCCATCTTTTCCAAGATCTTGCAATTGGAAACTTCTCAAGAGATTTCAACAGAATTCAATATGCATTTAACCCACCTAAGTAAATTATAACTTAAAGTTACAAAAATCCATTGCAATACACTTTAAGGAAAGAAAGTGAACATACACAGTAAAAACTTAATTCGGTACAATTTCAATGCTTGTTTCATCTCTATGACAGAAAACTGTAAAAAAATATTGATATATATCAGTTGGTTACTTTGGCCCACGGACACTGATAGAAAGTTAGATGAAGTACAGGAAAAGAGAAAACATTTGTTATCCATTCAGTCACATTCACTGGTTATTGTGGTACTATTGAAAACAAAACAGTGAGAATTAAATGATGATATGTTTCTCTGAAATGTTGGCATTCACCTAAAAGCCTACACAGCACTAAAAATCCACATCATCATCAAACAAAACAATTTTAAGATTTACCTATAAGCACAAATTAAAAAAAATATTAAATTTAACAAATACTTGTGCCTGAAACAGCCAGACTGAGTTGGTAACATCTTGCTTCTGTGGTTACACTGACTAATTGAGTATTCTGGCAGAAGGAACATTTTGACCACCAACATTAATTGTGTGCTGTGATACACTGAAAGGTTATGCACAGTACGAACAGTAAACTGCTAGCATGTGATGCGATGGACACACTCATGTTGCTGGCAATCCCCGTAATCTACCAACCACAGGCAATTCTAGAATACATCTTCCACAGTAACAAACAAAATACTATTTCTGACATCAGACTCTAATAAAGGTACAGACCAAGTGAACTCATTGGGTTAAATGTATCCCTGTAGACAGTTTTAACCCAGTCAACTCTAGTTTAAATGCCATTCTACTTACACACAATTATGGCTAACCGCTCTGCCAAAACATTCTTAGTAATAAAGTGGTTTCAGAAGCAAGTGACTTTGAAGTCATGTGTTTCTGCTGTTCATAAGTAAATAACTGGAAGCTGTCTATGAATGACTGATCGAAAAACAGGCACCCATATGGGTGACTACAACTGTAATAACATTTTAATGCCACGTAAAGAAATGTGGTTATATCAGAGAAATAATCAGATATACACATGAAACAACATGAAATACAAGTTGTCTCATAACAGACTAGGTTAACAGCTCACTGAGGAAGGCAGTGATGTATTCATTTAGACTTTTAAGTAAAAGAAGTGAAGACCTGAAGATTTCTGTCTTCTGGGTTGTTGCGCTGTGTAGTATGGTCGATGTTTACCAACATTTCAGAGGGCATACTACCTCCGTCATCAGGGCGATTTATCGCAGTATGACCTCTGAAACGTTGGTAAACATCGACCATACTACACAGCGCAACAACCCAGAAGACAGAAATCTTCATACTCATCGCTGTGTAAACCTCAAATCTTACAAGTGAAGACCTCATTCATATTTTGTGAAAAACAATCTAAAATATCAACTACGTCAGAACAGCACATATACCAGAGGAAAAACAGCATGTGGATGGAAGGAAAGATGGATAAACAGGTAAGTTACTACGCTGTTATTAATTTTACAAATATATATAAAAACCTAAGAAGTTAGGAATTCATAATTTGAAAAGTAAAAGAAAAGAAGACGAAAATTTGTGAATACAACAATACAGATGCTAAATTTAATTGATTTAAAACACCACATTACATTTTGAAATTGTACGTGAAAGAAGTTTTCACTCTTAATTTAACATACAATTGTAAGATACCAACACCCACGTCCAAATCGTGAGTATGGAAGTCATAAGTGTTGCCTACATGCTCCAAGTTGTATTGTGTTCATGTTATACGTGAAACACAAACATCTAATCTGTGAGAACCTCAAGTCTTACATCTAATTTCATATTTTACCCATCAAATTTTTGAAAGTATTAAGTTACAGCATCAGAGAGAAACGTTTTTTCCAATAATTTCAGGAAAGTAAGTTTCCTGTTCAAAGAGTTCAATACTTCCAGTTTTTAATAAAAAGTCTGCGTAATTAAATAATACAAATGAAAAGGAGAACTACAATTTGGAACATACTTCCCAAGTACATTTTTTGCAAGTTTTGCATTCCTCATTGGCAGACAAGTCAATAGTACACCATGTTTCAAAAGTAGCTTTACATCTTCACAGGAGAATATAAATTTATTTAAAGGATGTGCGCAATATTTTTAAATGCACAAATTTAGCCAAACACATCAATTTTCCTGGAACATGTTCGTGACAGTCCAAAAGTTAATGTGTTTTGTGCCCTCAGCAATAGCATGGCCACCTCGTTCCCTGGATCTAACACCTTTAGATTTTTTCTTGTGGGGATTTGTTAAAGACTGAGTGTACGTGGCACCCCTACCTGCAAATGTGGCTGAACTCCAAACTCGAATTACTGCTGCAGTTGCTAAAGTGACACCGGAGATGCTAGACTGCGTGTGGCAAGATACTGACTACAGATGGGACGTCTGCCGCATAACAAATGGAAGTCACATTGAACCATAAAAATCTGATGGACATAAAACTTGAAGTGTTTGACTACATTTCTACGTTCTGAAATTATATGTTTCTCCTATCAGTTCACCAATATCTCGCCCTCAAGTCGTAAAGCTACTTTTGAAACACACTATATAAGAGGCACAATGTATACATTAACCTTTAGGCCATTATAATTTATGTCATATTTACTCATGAAGAGAAACACACACACTAATCATGGCATACAGTAAATACAGTAACTTACAACACACACCCCTCATCCAATTATGAAATGCAAAAATCTTTAATTTTAATTCAGTATCTTATATTACAAACTTAATGGATATTAAATCAATGATTTGTCGAGAGGGAGAGGTCAGACTAAGACAGGTACCCTGGTTCTCCAGGTTAGGGGGTTGGTCGCAAGGCTAACAACCTTGCACCATAAAAAGGAAAATGTTTCGAAACCTCGATCAAAGCCTCGGACTGTAGGATATGACCAAATGGAAGAGGAGAATTGAGGAGGCCATGGACCGAATACGGACCGGAGAGCCATAGAAGAAGATGAGGTTATTGTATTTTGGGGGTATTGGCATGTATCAGATTTGAACCAAAGGCTCTCTAGCCTGCTATACAACCATACTTTGTGTTCGCTGTTACTTGTTTATAAACCAAAGCCTCCTATAAAATGTTAGCAGCCGAGTATATAAAACATACTCGGCGCTGCACTTCAGATTCTCATCAGCAACATTTTCATTGCAAAGTTTACATTTTATACTAATCGTCTGAATTCATTCATTGTGATTCCTCTTTCTTCCGCCTCACAAAGTTAAGAGAACGCCAGAAAAAATTGATAATTCAATTAAGGCTTTGACCGGGATGTTCTTTTGTTAAATCTTATGTGGTACCGCCTGATTCGACTTCTAATGGTTAAGTGAAGTGTTTTCTTCGTGGTACGGTCTGGATTCGTAAATATTATGAAGACGAGCTTCGGCTTCAAAGGGTCAACCAGCTGATTTTCGTAATGGTGAGGTGTAGTGTTTTTTTCGCGGTACGGACTGAATTCATAAATAATATTTAGACGATCTTCGGCTTCGAAGGGTTAAGTAATGTACGTTAGTGTTGTCTGCTGGCTATGGACAACCCTTGTGGCCTTCGGGCTTCATAGTATTCTTCCACGTGTGCGGAGTTGAAACATTACAGCTGGGAAGTTTCCTCCCGTCCCATTACCCGAGCAGGAAACTGCAAGACCGACAGAACTGGAGAGGCGAGTCTTCGAGCACAATGAAGAACTGCAATGGAAGGAAAAAACTGATATTATCTGCCTCCTCATAGCACACATTAACAGCTTAAGAAAAGAAACAAGCAAAACAAACACTGTGATTTGTGATACAACTTCAATGGCTTAAAATGTTGATGACAGGCCAATGGAAATGGTCGTAAAATTATAAAGATTCAGTACAAAATAAACTGAAAAATTATAGAATCTCTGAAATTGCATTTGCACTTTTCCGAGTCGGAAAAAGCCGTTTCTTTGTGTCTGCTGTTAATTTAAGCGGCCATAAAAAAGCAATGAATGTTTAACATTTTTGCATTCAAAGAGAAAAGGCCACAAGACACCATTTTCTAAATGGTCCGAGAAAAATATAAACTTGGCACAGAAAAATAATCACTATCAAAGCATTCAATACAGATAATAGTGGAAATAAATGCGAATAATTCTGCAAGGAAGCAAAATGCAATTGATTATAGCACAATGGGAAGTACTCGACAGAATTTTTCACTTTCTGAAGAGAGTTATCGTGTGTCTTGAGCAATGAGACAGTGAGAGTACACAATAGTTTCAGCAAGATGGACTATAGACCTGGACATACTGCAGTAAACACCCACGGAGGACCTCATTTTCAGGACGACCTCGTATCTTTTGCATGCTATCTCACGCCATACGCCTACCTGTGGGAACTGGCTTATGAGAGAGGGCGTGTATACCACGATCCCATGCTTTAAAGTCTAAAGGGCCACCACACAGTACTGATTGCAGTTTACCACACAATATTATTCAAAAGTCGTTGGATAAAATTAACCAGCAAACTTAAATGTAACTTTGGTGTGATGGCCCTGACAGTAAAAACTAGATGACTGTCTTACGAGTTTTACAGCCCTGATGATAGATGGAGCAAGGTCCTCTGAAACGTCGGTAAACTTCTACCAGACTACATGGCGCTAAAACCCTGAAGACGGCCATCCTCAGACTCACCACAATAAAAACCTCAAATCATACGTGGGAGTTCTTATAACAACGTGTATTCAATATAACACGTGCTCTTACATAGTTTTAGTTTTAGTCAAAGTAAAATGTAGACCTGAAACAAACGTGTGCTTTTAGAAACAAACAGTTAAGTGTCAATTTATTATAAGCACGGCCCTTACGTTAATCCCAGTGGTCACAAGATCCGAGGTACTCACATCTCTAACGCAGTGAGCGACTGTAAATTTAACAACCCACTCAGGAAATGGATGCTTGCCCTCAATTCCCTGTGCTGGACTCTAAAAATTAAGGTCTCTCAATGGCCTGATCATCCATTCACGAAGTTCTGTAGTTAACCTAAAAGTAATTTATGGAGTCTCTACAATAGATGGGGCTTCATGAGCTTACGTCTGTGATTGGATAGTATAAAGCACTGGTAAACAGATATTATGGACTAAGAAAACCTGATGACCTACACTGAAGTCATATTTTATTGAGCCAAACTGTGCTGACATGAGTTACAGCATTTTGCACCTACTTGTGTTGTACACATAATTCTTAACTACTTGAGTTACTCAGTAATTACTTTTTTGGAGTGAACATGAATAAAGAATTCTTTAAGTAACAAAAATTGTGAGCGAAGTGTCTATGGCGATGCGGCCGTTCATTCAGTAGCTACAGTCGTCCTGATGTGTGGAAAAATAAACGTTTTGCCATCAGACTTTCGAAAGCTTAGAAAATACGATATTTTGAGCAATCACTGTTAAGCTGGAACAAGTTTGATGCGAATGATGATTTGTTCTCAATGCATTGCTTCCATATTGCGAATGCTGACTGTATTAGGATGAGAATGTGAGGTTAGTGTTTGACAAGACTAAATTGTCTTCACTGATACATTGGACATCGATGATTTCTTGGGCATAAAATTCCTACATTAATGCACTACGGTATGTAGGTCTAATATGCAGACTCTTTCTAGGAATTTCTATAATTAGAAAGTAAGTGCTGATAAGTTATTTGAAGGAACAACGGAGTCATTACACAAATATGCACGAGTTAAATCGCCATTTGTGAACGAAACCTCTAAATTTTATACTCATTCAGACTGATTTGTATACGTAATATTGCAGGAAGGAAAGGCTTTCTTTGGAAATGTATATGATTTTCAATTTCCCATTGATTTCACCGCAACGTTCTCATGCAACCCACTGTAACAGATTATTAATTGGTTACATTGTCGGTTCTTCAAAATGAAAGCTGGGTTCTTTCACACACCACTGCATTCAATTATTCCCTTGATTAATGTTCTGTCTGCTTCGAATTGGAATTCACGTCACCTTTCCTTTGCAGGGGTCGGGCGTAAAAGACAGACTTCGACTACTTCCTTGCAGCAGGTCTTCATCCGGTTACTAGCCACGTGGTCTGTTGTTGACTGCTTCTTATTCGAGAAACGGTAAACACTTCGCAGGGCACACGTGGTTCTCTCCCGAAGGCCATGATAGGCGGAAGGACTACTTGTTCTTTTCTTATCCTTCCACCGGCCGACACCCAGTGGAGCTCCACAACGCCATCTCTGACAAGGAGTTCCATTCGGCACAGTTTATTTGTAAGTGGAACTCACGACGTAGCTCAGCTGTGCCTTTGTCAGGATGAAGCAATCTGCCTGTCTCGATTCCGTGTCGCTGATCGTTCTGGTGCCAACTCATTTGCAAACTGCTCGACAGAGAACCTCCTTCTTTGTGCGCTCAGTCCGTGACAATTTCTGACCTGCTCCTCCAAAGTTACAATGCGAAGTCTCCAGACGTCACTTCTCATCAAGCAAAAGTGTGGCCATGAAATGAGGGTGTTGGCGCTGATGTCTCTCTCTTCACGCTAGCCTTTATTCTTTTTGCACAACTATTCTTTCTCAAGTCTTGATTTTGATGGCCTCCTTGTTAAGTATCTGTCGACAGCCACTTCTGAGGTTATCGGCGTTCCTTCGGTTCTCGGCTGGTGGCTAACGTGTTCCCACTGTGGATCTCGTCACTTCTCTCAACCTCGCTGGTGGTCCGGCGGCCGCCTTCGTAGCCTTGAGGACGTATTTGATTGACCTATCGACGCGTACGATAAAGTGTTGCTTCAGTTCCTGGTCTCTCACTTCGCTGATGACTGCATGGGCAACCCGCCAACTGCTCGACGGCTACTGCAAATTCTAGCAGTGGCTCCCCATTCAGTTGAATCCTGACTTTGAATTGCGATCGGTAGGTCGCCGCCAACTGGTGGTATTCGTAACGGCCCTCCACACGTCTCTGCGGCCGGAGTATGAGACTCGGCGAGCAGATACATCGCCTTCTCGCGGAATGCCCACTTGTTTTGAATAACCGCGTCTTCGAACTGGCGACAGAACACCAAGAACGCCGTTCCTCATATTTTAATGATGTCAATGATGGTCCCTGCGTTCCCACCGCCTCTGGGCAATTTCGCCATCTGCCTCTTCAACTCCTGACGTCTGGCCTCCAGACAGCGCCGATTCGCTCGTAGCGCATTTATTACTGAATTCCCTTAGGTCCTGGACCTACTGGCAACTATTATGACGCCCTTCAAATGTTTGTTTCGCGTATCCATCTTATGGTTTCTTCAAAGTTTTCAGTTCCTGAATGTTTCTTTACACTTTATCTTGGCCGGCGCCTGTATGTGGTTTCTTAGTTAAATTTATGATGCTCTCCATTTAATTTTAGCCGATGTTCAACTTGTTTAAATATTCCATGGAGATGTGGAGACAGGCTGAGGTCGTTCCAGGGGTTTTAGAATCTTTCTAGTTTATTCGGGACGACTCTACGCAATTCCCAGCTCGTCCAGAAGCTGCACGGAATCTATGACGGCGTCTTGGGTTACGTAATCCCAGATGGCTGACGCAATCTGCTGTTCCCGTAAGAATGTTGGCGACACTACTCACAAAGTAGCGCAAATGTACGCGGTAACTATTTCATCATGTGAAGTGATACAGTATCTCAGTAGTTTTCTTGCCTCCGTCTCCATGTATTCTTTGCATATCACTTCACACACCAAGGGGCTTCTTAACGAAAATTCTGCGAGATTTTATAGCTTGTCTTTAGCGCCACACGTATGGCTCATTACAGGAACGTCGACAGGAGAAGTGTGTGTGTATTTCATGAATACGTTAAGTTTGAACAAGAAAGATAAAATTGTAGATCAGGCAATCTAAACCATTTCACATGTTGAAAACAATTAATTAATCGTACAAATGAGCATATGTTCAACTTTCATGACAGCCACCACGTGATTTTGCTTGATGTAACTCTGCACAAACAATAAAAAAATGCCATGAACAGCTGGAAGTCCAGTCAGGCCTTTATTTGTCACTAGGTACATTTTGTCTTGAACTTTTCTCCGTCTGCTCAGAGTCCATCATCCAAGAATGTTTAGTCTACGCCAACTAGTATAATGCAGAATTGTAAATGGTAAATGTTAATAAGAAATTTATATACAAAACTCCCTCATTAAAAAAGACGTCTATCTGAAATGAAGTCCTTGCATTTCAACATCCACATTTAATAGTTTTAACACTATCCCGTCCTAAAAATACTTCTTACAAATGTTTACTGCCTGGTGGACTTTTTATTTTATTAAGTGTTCTGTCTTACGACAGGTCCATTGCTCTGCCCAAAAATAGCTCTCCAGTTGTCCCTATTCTCGGCTTCTCGCTTTAATTCCTGGAACGTCATCTTCTTTCCTTGTTTAAGGTCGTCGGTTAGCTGTATCAATCTTCTTCCTAGTCCTCTCTTTCCTTCAACCTGGCCTTCGGTGATATCACTCAGTAATCCATTTCTTCTCATAATATGTCCCAGCCAGTTAGCTTTCCTTCGTGTAATCGCCTGCAGAATGATTCTTTGCTCTTTGACTCTCCTCAATACTTCTTCGTTGGTCACTCGATCCGTCCACCTGATCTTCTCTATTCTTCTCCAACACCACATTTCAAAACTCTCCAGGTATTTCTGTTCCTTTTTTTTTCTGCGATAAATGTCTGGTGTTAACTGCTCATTCAAAGCCTCAAACATACCAAAACAAATTTTTGCGTTTTGTTGTCTGATGTACAATTTCCAAAAACGTACGAATGCTAGTCTGAAGCAAACAGTCAGCTGGACGAATTAGTTCTTTGTATGAAATGATCACGTATTATTAACGAAGTGGTTGACTGTACAGATTCATTTTATTCCTAGCAATAATTAGAGCTTATTCTCGCTAGATGGAACCAGTGTTCAATAACTGACATTCATTTTGTTCCTAGCAATAATTAGAGCTTATTCTCGCTAGATGGAACCAGTATTCAATAACTGACAGATCACATTTCTGTTTAAATGATAGTGAAAGACGCTATATCAACAGCAGAGGTTATCTGGTTAGTGAATTGGGAGAGACATGGAAAGAAGCAGTCGTAGCCTGTTATAAGGTAGAGCACTGGCGTTTTCAGGCCAGAGAAACCCACAACAACTTTGCAAGTCTGACCAGTTGCTACCGACAATATTTGCTCCCTACGCTGAAACCGAACTTCCTCAATCCGCACAGGAAGTACAGGACAATTGACAGAACAAATAAGACGCCATTACTTACGGGTCAGACTCTGCAACACACTAATGGGAATGTTGTTAAGTTTTTCCAATGGCCAACGCTTATTTGCGCCCACAGGAACGACTGCAACATCGTTACTGCAGATGGATCGTCAGGATATTTGGCTGGACGACCTAAAGACTTGTTACATCATAACACGTGCCAGTAACACTGCAGTTGATCGTCGAACTTCGTCACACAGAAACTGCTACGAGCACACGACGCATGCGCGAAGTTGTTGGTTATATTTACATAGCAGCGACATTTCCGCGTTCCTGTGTTTTCGTTCTCTACGGGTTTTTTTAATATCGTGGTTTTGGAGTAAAGTGACATCCATTTTGGTTATCGGCCGGTCTCATTCGCTGACGTCATAACCACAGTAGGCAGTCAGAAATGGCGGGATGGCTATCTCATTAAGGTTTTGCTGTACGAAGATAATAAACAATACCATGATTTCCGTTCGGATGTCTTTCAGTAGAAGAGTGATTCTGGGATCACACCGAAGAATGCCCCATAGTTTCCTCCTTCAATCGAGACAAATTCCTCCTCCAACTAACAAATAAGACAAATTTAATACATAATTTGTTAATGTGAAGGAAAATCAATATTATCATTCGTCGTCTGTGGCGCAGCGGCCTGTCCGTGAAGAAAATTTGAATGCAATTCTTGAGCAGGACATTTGAAAAACACTGTTTCTCCAGTTGTCTCTGTAACATTCTATTAATTCCATGATTGGTTACGTAATCAAGATGGAAAGAGTTACACTGACAACAAATAAAATAAAGAGCCAAAAATAGATACCAACACGAAGATGGCTGTCTTCTGGGTTGTAGCGCCGTGCAGTCTGGTATAATAGTTGCCAGACAGACCTCTTGGCGATCTGTTGCCGAGTTACATGGCAACACTAAATTCGGCAAGGTCAAGTAAAGATTTGGAGCGCATCACCTCTTCGTCGCTCCGCGCCGACACCTCACAAGACATCCAGCGACAACTATGATGATCATCGCCCTGATGATGGAGGCAATAAGTACCTCCGAAACATCGTTAAACTGCCAGACTACGCGGAGCTATAACCCAGAAGACAGCCATATTTATACTCACAGCAGTGAGAACCTAGGATATAAATACATCGGAAATTGCGAAAAAAGAGGAAATTAATTATCATGCTATGGCACTGTTCAGAAGACAACATGAAAATGTATTCAGACCTGCGTTTGTCAGGCCTTAACAAGCACGAAGCAGAAAAGAACGTGTAGAGTAAGTGTGTATGCTAGACACTAGACATTAGTGTCCTCCACTGTCTCTATTTTATCATAACACTGTAGTAAAATATAAACGCTGTACGTAATTTCGCTTCTAGTACTGTCCGGTGTGCGGCGTCGCTCGTGAACAATTTCTCAGGCTTAAATGCCAGTCGATAGGGTTCCGCGAATTAACTGTTTATATTATCCTACAAGGATTTCTGTCTAGACGCCTTCCTCTCTGAGCGTGAGTATTGGGTAAACATTCGTCTGAAGCATTTCCTATTCAGAATGGCTGGAAAATAGGATGCTATGCTTCATCGCCATTGTCATACACGAGTGTGTCTCTCGCTGTCTCGTGCAAGGGGAATAACACAGAGCGGTGTTTGAGAAAGGGTTCCGAAGAGGACATGGACCTACGGGGGCCGAAATACCAGGACGAAGATGCTTAAACAATGATGAGCTTCTACGAAGACAATCGAACCTAGGAGATTACACTGACAAGCGATGACGATCAGAAATGTAGTCTGAAAATACAAAGGCAAGTCCAATGAGGAATGTAGGCAATGGTAAGAGGATAGATCTTGAAGAAACTGTGTGTGAAGATGTGGATTGGACTGAACTTGCTAAGGTGTACACGGGCCATCGTAGTTGACATACTACCAGCTTCTGAACTAGAGGTGTGCAGCATGTAATGGCTCAGAAGCTTGGTTTGTTATCTTAAATAAATTACGAAACTTCGTTATTATTTCGTGCTTATTCCTTAACAAGAAGATGATCAAAACTTCAATAAACAGATTCATTACCATTCTCTTCTCCATTTTTTCAATCCAGATTAGCATTTACTAATTTCTCTAACACCCATTTCAATCTCTGCGTCCAGACCGGGGTCCACCCAGCCTCCTCTACAATGGGTACCGGGGTCCATTCCCGGGGGTAAAGCGCGGACGGGAGCGTGATGCTGGCCACTCACCCCCATCTTGTGCCGAGGTCAAGAATGAGTAGGAGCGGTAAACCTCTCCCCCCAAGTGCCTACATGGCGTATAGTGGGACAGCTTTACTTTAAATTAAAACCCATTTTAATACCAACCTCATAACTAACCGTTATTCGACGAGGTGTCACAGCTAAATCTCCGTTAAAGTCTAGTTTATTGAAGGCAGGGCACATGCGCGCGCACTCAAGCATGACGTCATAACCTCTTGTTTTGGGAAAATAGTCAAAGCCTTACGTGTAACTGGGGGACAGCTCGCAAGCAACTCGACGCAAATTCCGTTCTTGTATGACCCCTGCTGCTTCCGCTTCCATCTGCAACAATTCAAACAGAATTTGAATGCGTCTGCTGTAGATTTCGTTTTACATGAGATCTTCACAGTACATACGACAAGCTGGTTGCCTACACTGAGGCAACACATTTCGAAGGCTTGGCAGAATCACCATTTTAATGATAAAGATACGTAGGCCTACTAAAAACTAAACAAAATATGCATAGTACACGTCAGTCACACATCTTACTAATACGACTAACTTTACAGGACACAGTTCATGTGGAGAAGCTAACAGTCGCTTAGCTAGTCACGAAATCCCGACTTTTTCGAAGCTTGAAGGTTCGTCATCGTGTTCACAAAAAAGAGACAATTTTGTGGCGTATCAAAATGTCAATTTTCCTATCGAAGAAACTGAGGGACACGCAGATAAATTCATTGTGTCTTTTAAGCTCGGCAATACATGGAGTGAGCGTCACAGTTCGGTTTCTATATCAGTTTTCCACAAAACCCGAAATGAGTGGACGACATCAGAGAAAATCGGTGAGTGGTTTCATTGGGAACACGCCGGACACATCCTTCGTGCTGTCAGCTTACCCTGACACGTCCTGCACTTTTGTTCAGCGTCAAAGAAGCTACTGGAATTCGGGACCCCCCTCCCCAGCACAACGGCTGCAGTTCTGGATGGAGCTTCAAAAGAAATACTCCCTGGAAGAGGTTCCAGGAGCCTAAGAGTGTGTACATATTAAAAGAGCAACAAAGTAAGCGCTGTCCGAACAGCCAACTTCCTCGGTGTGAGATAGTTGAAGCACGTGGTTCAAAGATTGACTGGGTTTTCCTGGCTCAGAATGTGCCCAACACAGTCGACGACAAAACTCCCACGAATTGATCAGGCACTGCGTCGCGTCTCTGCTGCTGGTGTATCGTCTCCCACCCGACGTCGACGACCACTCACGATCGATCCTAGGAATTATCACGACTTTGGCCATACATCGGCGCCTTCTCTTCCTGGCGGCGCAGACTTTGGTTCCAACGAAACTCTGAGATATACCAGTTGATTTTCAAAATGGCTTCCCACCCCAGTAAAGCGACAACATACGAGTACTTTCACTAACATGGGTAATAAAGATGGCTGTCTTCTGGGTTTTAGCACCGTGTAGTCTGGTATAAATTTACCGACGTTTCAGAGGTCCTTGCTGTGATACAACCCAGAAGACAGCCAGCCATCTTCGTACTCACCGCCGTGATAAACTCAGATCCTACTAACATGGCTGTCGTGCAACTTTCTTGATGGCAGCAAACCAACTTTAGTCAAAGAACAAACGAAGTACAGGTAGCCCTCGATTTGCGTCGATTCAGGATAACGCCGATTTTGAAACCAAAAGGTCAAAAAGTGAAAATAATATATTTTAATATTATTTATAACGTTTTACAATGTTTCTCGTACTGATTCTTATACTAAATCGTAATTCTTACATCGCTGATTTTGAATAAAAATTATAAATACAGTCGTCTCCGCAATTACGTGTGTTTCGTTAACGCGAATTTGCTCCAATGAGATCGATGAATCGGTAAAAGCTGTTTGTGAAATGCAAACTTTTTCATATGCGAGTTTGCTCTTGTGCTACTGCGAAGGGGAGCCTTATGGCATCCATGAGGCCTTATCGTGAAATTTTGAAAGAAAGAAGAAATCACGACACACTACGTGCCTTCTTTAAAAACATGACGATCCTCAACCAGGGACTTCGTCAGAGAACTAACACTGCTTCATCACGCCATTGCCGATTGTAAGTGTATAAAATATATTTTTTAAATTCCCTTTATTTTATTTACGTTATTTCTGAGCTTTAAATGTAATGCCATTAGATTACTCGCCAATGTTTGGGTGCTGGGGACGCATGTCATTGACTTCCCATTGATTTACATTATAAAATCTTTCCAATTTACGCCGGTTCGTCCAGGAACACATCCCCGGCGTAAATCGAGGGCTACCTGTAAATGATACGGGGAAGAATAAATGGTTTAAAGATAGAGTTGTTCAAGAAACTCTTTGCTCTTATGAAATCTGAAAGATCATTACAGTCTCAACAAAAACTCACAACTAGTCCTTGTCCTAAGGCAGTTTAATCCCGTCATTATATTCACAATTTGAATCTTATAAATCTTCCACCTACTTCTTCGTAGTGTTATAAATGTCGTGTTCAAACACACTTCAGAGGGGGGGAAAAGTACAACTCCGCGTTATTCCCAAATAGTACATAAACTAAACACATAATGAATATGTGTCCGTCAGTTAGCATGTTCCGTTTCCGAAATTACAGCATGGATTTCGATTAAATTTTATGCTGGGGAATTTACACCGAAAATTGGTCGAATTTAATTCTGGTTCAGATCTATTCAATAAAACCCTTATTTTACAAAACGGTCAAATAAACTTTTATCTAAAAGGATCTATTCTACAAGTTTTATTTTAGTAATTTTTAACACAGTGTAGCGTTAACCAAGAAGGACACAAAATTAACAAGCTCACTTTCACCGGCAAATATCGAAATTTATATTCCATGGATAAAGTATCATCCAATTTCGGGTATACAAATCGTAAGAATAACGTGAAATAATCCAAACAGCACGTGGAGACAGTTCGGAGCTTCGCAGATCAATCAGAGAAGCAACAGGGCCTACTTAAATGACTTAAGCACATTCAACATACCATAAACCAAAATCTGTACGAAGAGGCTTCTCAGTTTCCAAAATCCCGTGCCCTTTCCAATCCACTGTCACTGTAGATGTAAGCCCCTCTCATACCTGAGATTCTAGCCTGTGAGATTTATGAATAATACGTCACAAGTTAGGGTCTCAGGGAACGGGAAGGACTCGTCTTCTGCCGCCATCAATCCAAGGTCATGCACAGTTACAGGCTGAGAAGACACAAACCCCACGCTTCAGACAGGATGGTCAAAAACTTACATGTAGAATATTCAGGAAAACAAGTTAAGACACCAGCAAATGCCCACAGTCATCTAGACAGTCAAACCTTGATTAGTTAAAGTCCAGTTAAATATAATCGTCGCTTAATCCATATTTTGCATTTATTAAAACTATTCTAAGACATGTGAAATAATTGGGTAGTGAGTAACACGCTCGTTACTATAAATAAACCAGAATAAAAACGACTATTTCATGCTCTGGAAAAGAAGACGCAATGACTTTTAATTACTCCGTACGCCTGGACTCGAATTACGTTATATGGTTTCAGAAAAACTATTCCCAAAAGTTACTCGTTAAGCTGGGTTAACATTTTCGAAACATACGAACACACCGTCATATACAAATATTCCATATTACCTATTTAATTCATACCTGCGGATCAACAAGACAGCTCAGCCTCAATACACGACGAGAACTGAGCATTCTGTCGACTGGAATCGAAGCCAGTACCACTTTAATGCCTTGTGTTCAATGGAGTAAAAATACAGAGATGAAAGCATTTCTCCCCCATACGAAGCGTCTCACCCCTTCCAATAGGGTGACGTAGAAGCAAAAGGGAGTTGTCGGGAGTCGAATAGCGACCAGTAGGTAGCAATATTACGGGTAAGTAGGAGAGGCCTCAGTCGTACCTTTTTTTTACTGATGTCTATTCAATTGTACTTTCAAAAATTACGAAAGCTGTACAATGTGGTAGTGATCTGTAACCACCGGTCTAGTTGAACCCCTTTGTGCTGTACGTGCTGGTCATTCTATAATACAAAAAAGTACAAATCCTTCTCGACTGTGATACTGTGAGTAAACCCGTGTAATCCTCTCAGAGGCACCCTTCGCTGTTCACTTTAAAAACTACAAATTATTTTAAAAGTGTCATCACAAAGGAAAGTCCAATCTAGACCAAGGCCAGGGGAAGCTTCCACTGAGACGACAAGGGGAAACTAACGGAAATGTATTATGGTCGCCTAAAAATTGGAACAACTTGTATTCAATGACCCACATGTGTAAAATGACGACGGAAGGGTCGTTTATTAAAATGTATTAATTTTTCAAAGTTTTTACCAACTCTTCCCAACGTATCAGAGCTCCGTAACGGTCTACTTCTGGCAGATGAAATTGGAATCATAAAAAAATACTTCTTATAGATGCGTCTTAACTAGTATCAAACTGTTTTTGCAAACCCGAAGTTTATATTCAAGTGACTGGACAGCTTACAGTGCTCAGAAATTCCCCCCTTTCATAGGATCTTAAGGTCCATTGCCCTGAACACAAAACCTCGCGTAGTTAGCCTAAGTCAAATGGAAACATCTGAATGTCGCGTTGAGACTAATTCACATTACTAAGCTGCATTAAATTTATCAAAAACTCCCGCCCTATCCAAACATTTCCGCGTAAAACAATCTCCGATTACGCAAAATATTAAGCCATAAATTAAAATTGAAATGACGTACATAATGAGTCGAAGTACTTAAGACGATTTAGGCTTGTATTTTGACGACTCCTTACAACAAAATGTAATAATTCAATCCGCTGAAGGATGGACACGCAAGCCGACATTCAGCAATCAGCACCCAGCCAAATAATTAACAGGAAGTCCTACATACAACAGTTTACAGTTCGCATTACAGGCGTATCCGAAGGTTGGAGATCTTGAAACAGGATTTCAAGAGTACGGGCTTGAAACATGGCAGTCAGAAACACTGGATATCCGGCAAAGAATAGCATCGTACAAAACATGAGATGTGATTCACGTACAATTTCGTACTATTTAAAAAGTGGATTACTAAACAAAAGAATAAAATAAATGCTTAGTTCGGAACGCTACCTTCTTTTCCATAACGTGACGTAGATGATAAAAAACCCACTAAAACGAATTTAATCTAAATCTGTAAATCCTAATATGTTAACGGAATACTGTATTTCGTTTGTAGGTAGAAACGGATTTTAAAGAACAAGGCAAAAGGGTGTGGACTGCCTTAAACTAACTAATGTTTTGTGAAAACGGTAATAAACATTCAATTTTCCACAAAAGATAGGATATTTCTCTTCCAGATGAGAGACAATCAGCTTCTGAAGAACATTTCTCTTAGGTGTTTGCTGGTTGGGGTAGTTTTTTTTTATTTGGTTGGTTAATTGGTTAAATTGTACTACGAAAATGCAGCAAATAAAACCAGAATCCCCCCCCCCTCCACCAACAGCACGTGCAGTGGAAATCTGACAAAGCGACGCTGCGAAACTGCTTTTAGCTCGCAGAGAGTCTCTTTCCTTCTCTTTAGAGCTCACCTGCAGAGTAGCGAAGTGTAGCTCACACAGCAGTCCAACAACAGTCACGTTACTTAACGCTTTCAACGCGAGCCTTTTGAATCCTGGCAAATGCAAAGCTTCGTCTGTACTTAACGTTCAAAAACAACATAAAAGTCTACACTTATTTCTCTCATCTCATTACAGGCTCTTGAATCTTAGAGAGACCCAGACAGGAATCCCTTAATTTCTCACAAGAGTAAAATTGTGATGCCAGTCCACGAGTTCTTAATTAAACTTGAAAAGACACAAGCATCTTTGAGCCAGAGGTGGCGTGTGGTTGGTTAGGGGCCATGAACCATCGGATTTTATGTAGTGCATTTACAAACTTACTTGAACAATATTAAATTTAATAGACATTAATAGACTAACGAGAGAGGAGACAGCCAGACCACAATCCCCCCCCCTTCTGTGTGCAAGCCACTTAAATCTCTTTTGTACCACTATCTTAAAACAACGCGTGAAGTAAAAAAGACTAAGATACGAAATGTGAGTCAAAGTAGGCTGCACGCATTACTGTTGTGTGAAGATGGCTGGGCGCGTCAGGAATTTACAAGTTTATCTGCTTCTTGAACAGCTAAATGTAAGAATCAGGTACGCCGACAATTTTTTTTATAACGCGACCCTACATTCATATTTTTATGTTAGTTTTAAAGAGTTAACTTCGCATGTCTGTTAAATTAAGCTGGTTTAATGACCGTTAAATAAACAGAAAGTAATAATAATTCATTTCTATGATACCGAAAAAATGATTTTAAAAATCCACTGGTTTTAACCATATTTTCCCTTCTTTCTTCTTCTCCTCCCAACTCCACAGGGACTTTGGGTTTTTCTTATCACAAATTTCTGTGAATTTGATCTTTCGTCTTACTGTCAGTAAAAATTCCTTACAATTTTCAGCCTTTTTACTTAAGATACCCAATTAACAATCACTTCCACCTGATACACAGTACGATGTAACAGACAATAATATAAAAAATGACTAAGCACCTGTAGTATCTTCTCTCTCCACCACCATCCCCCCACACACACACACACACACGTCGGTTTCATCCGAGCTGAAAGTTCGAAATAAACATCCTTTGTTTTAATTTCTTGACAAACAAAACGTTCAACTGATAAAACGCCTACTACAGATTCAAAAGGCTGAATCCCAACCACTGATCAACACGAAATCGTTTCAACATGTCTCGTGTGTCTGTGTGTGGGAACTGGGAATATTTGTCAAATATCTGAATCACGAGAACAGCGTTACGAAAAATCTTCAAATTGACGTGACGTTGGAAAAAAAAAGGCAATTTTATTTGCCAGCCATGAAAGCTCATATATCCATGTTAACAGACAACACAATCGTAAGGATTAGAAACATAAATTACACTCTCATGCTTTGAACTGTCCCTTGCAATACTGGGCCAGTGGGTGGTCATCGGAATTGCAATCAGTTCGCCGCGGACTGCACTCACCTGGCCTACGCCCCATTCTTCTCAGCACGTCCCAGCTAGTCATCGGTATCGGGTTCAAGAACCGCTACGACTACGACCATCTGAAAACGTACAAACAGAAATGTAATTCACACTTCACAGGAATTAAACAAGACTTACGCAACTTCTCAGGGTTTCATGAAGGAGAGAGACCTTCACACGATTTCAGTTCTTGTGGAAGACAACAGCAGCTGAAATCATCCGAAATTTCTTCCTTATGAGATGGATATTTATTAATGCGTTTCTAGCAGTTCTCTCGTCTGTCTATTGAGACTGAAGCACATACACAGAATTCAATGTCACACAATCTCTTTCTACAAGGGGGTAAATACCCTCAGTTCAAGAGAGGCAATATCCTGTCTGGACTCTGGGTAAACAAACTCTCACCACTGACGACAGCAGTTCATGAAGTACTTGACAATGACAAGAAAGCCAATTACAGGCAAGAACTGAAAAGAGGAAAAACAGGCAGGCATACCAATAATACTGTAAAATACAATAAGAATTACATTTGACAAGAGTACAATGTAAAAATGCACAAAACAAGACGTAAGGAGTCTGTAAAAAGTAATGCTCGTTTAGTTACCCATTCTCTCACTATATTGTGCAGGAAATTATTTGAAATGTCGACTGTATACTCGGCTTGTCGAAGAATAGCCCACTTTCTTTATGGAACCCGGAGGTTCATCACCGTGTTCACAAAATCCCGCCACCGGACTCTGTCCTGAGCCAGCTGCATCCAGTTCGCTCCATCGATTCCTGTCTCCCACCTATGCCTAGGTCCTACCAGCGGTCTCTTCCCTTCAGGCCTCCCAACCAATAACTTGCGTGCTACATGTTCCGCCCACCACATCGTCCTGGATTTAATCACCCTGGCGATGTCAGGTGAGGAGTACGGGTCATGAAGCTCATCATCATGCAATTTTCTCCGCACAACTGGCAAAATTACGCTTTCGTATGTTTTAATCTTTAATAATACAAATTCCACGTACGGAATTCTCTTCCGCGTACAGAATTCAATAACAAGCTGCCTGAATCTCAAGGTCAGAATGACAGTAATATCCAAACGTTTATTAAGACGAAAATGATTAACATGGAATTACATCGAATAGCTCGCAGTAAGAGGCAATAGTGGCAACACTGTTGTCAATTAAAAATGGCCTGTGTAAATTACAACACGCAACATGCATGCCAAAACAGAATAAACATATTACTAAAATAATGAATTCAAAAGGGACGCATTCCGTTGTCCATATTAAATTATAGAACAGCGGAAAGATGTATTACATCGGCCTACAACTTCAAAATGTCTTCTCTGGATTTTTGGTTACCTCACTGGATCGATTTCAATCATTGCAAATCCAAATCTAAAACTTTCATCAAATATTAACAATATCGAAACATATCTGTCCCTTACGAAAGCGCCCGTACTTAGCCTTGAGGTTCTTAAAAATAAACTGAACTTCAAGAAATGTAAATAAATACCAGATAGTAAGACGACAGTCTCATGAATATGTATTCCCACTGGCCACCGCTCGTTCCATTATTTATCGCTGTGGCGCTGCTAAGCAACAAAATGCCGGTGGATTTAGACCGCTCTTTCATTACAAAAACTGTTTCCCTCACCTAGCAACAAAACAAAGTGAAGACGCAACGAGACAAAATTATTTTATATGCCTATCTGTGCTACAGACTTATAATACAAAAACACGTTTTGATCGTCCATGAGTTTTTAATTACGTGCGTTTTGTCACATATTTTTAATATTTACATGTTTTAATTCGGGAAGCTTAACATTTTCTTTGTGTTAAAATTAAATTCAACCGTCAACGGTTCTTATCCTGAGCCATATGAATCCAATCCGCATTATCGAACCCTATTTTCATATTTTCCATTTTAATATTACCTTCCCCTGTACGCCTTGTTATTTCAAGTACTTTCTTCCTCTGAGGCTTCCCAATCAAAATATTGTACGCATTTCTCATTTACACACCTCCTTGTCCTCCTTAACCTGGTCACCCTAATATCTGGAGAAGAGCACAAATTATGGGCTTCCTCATTGTGCATTTTTCTGAATAAAACTGGCAGAGAAAATTAAGAAACAGTCTGATTAATGAACACAGAACGAAATTTTTACCCTCTGATTTAAAACGAGCTGTTTACACCAGCCTGATACAACGGTTACATATCTTAATAACTCGGTGAAACTAAGGTTCGCGGGTTCAAACCCGGCCGAGGTCGATGGATTTTCAAGGGTGATAAAAATCCGTATCACATCATCATTCGGAGGGTAAGTAAAGCCTTCGGTCCCACATCGTAGATTTACGGCATGTAAGAACCTTACGAGCATGATACGAGATGTTTCGTAAGCAAAATTCAGCGGTCATTTCTCACCCAAGTCTCTCCTGATTCACTGCTAGATGGCTCTGGCAGACAAATCAGTAGAAATTGTGTAGAGGCAGTGAGCTGGTCACTCACTACTCACAGATGCACATGGGAGGAGACCAAGACCCGAACTGTAATTAATATGGCCTGCCAATCTGCTACTTAAGTTATTGGCACAATTTTTAAAGTCAATCCGAGCTTCACATAAAGTTGTGGTTACCGTCGAATGACGACTAGTCACTAAAGGATAGTACAGAGTCAATTTTGGTACGAGGATTCAGTACACAGAAATTCCGATAATGAAACATCAGTGTGGACGGACAAACGACCTCCCTGTGTGGATTCACTTTGTGCAAAGAACGCCAAATAACTGCTAGGCCCACAGTTATATTACACATACTCGCTTCTGGAAACACGGGAAGTCGTAACACAGAGCTTAATGACGCTAATGTCTTTGCACCTTAGTAATTTTTATTTCCATCGCGTTGGTACCGCTGGCGGTATAGTTAAAAACAAGCAATTAAATCGACTTCCGGAATGTTTCTCATACCATTTCTATGACAACAGCACGATTGTTGTACACGACGGAGTCCGATACTGAACTCTGAGGCAGACGAACTTGAACGTTTTAGTTTCTCCAGCGTCAAAAACTGGACAGGGTAGAACAGCGGCATACTTGCCTGCAGCGATCCTCAGTTGGCCGCTTCCTTCAGGCCAAACGATTTCTTACAAAACAAAGTAGGAACGTTGCAAATTAACCTAAAATTTTCAAAAGTTGATCATAGGTGATTCACGGCCAATGACGAAATTGTGAAAGGGTTAAGAAAGGGCCACGTCCGACACCTGCGCTGTTCTTCGTGACATAGACTATTTCTAAGCGGTGAAGGAGAGAGGGGGAGAGAGCTTGAAGGTAGAGAAGTAGAGAAGCGAAACAGATAAGCGGGTTAAGAAACAGCAAACAGAAACGTGCCTCAATTTGTCTGACCCCGTGACGAATCTGCAGCCGGACAACATGCAGTGACGTCAGCCGGGCTTTCCCCGGTCACTCACTTCCAGAACAACCACGAGCACACCGCAGAAGGTCAGTGTCTCTGTGAACTTCCAAACATAGCAGAGGAAAGCCGCAAGTCTCTCACGGGGCTTCAAACTGTGATTCGCAATCCTGAAATGCGATCGAATGTCCACAGATTCCGGTTATTACGTCCTGGCACAGCCGTGTCTACGTCACTACCGACGACCCCATTTCTTTACGAATTCTGTCAAGCTAAAATTACAAGTTACATCAAATTTTCGTCAGGACATTAAATTACATATATTTCGATAAGAAAGTAGATGCACGACACTGTCTATTGTCTGAGGTAGCCTATGCATGTCGTTTCCGAAGTGAGATGTCTGTCGTTAGGTGATTGTCTGTATATTGGCATATTTTTATTTTAACATTAGTAGTGACCTCGGGGCCTACGATAACAACAATCTGAAACAATAACAACAAATATGCCAGTATAATGGCAATCGGTCACTAACACATGAGTCAAGCCAACTCCGAAACTACTGTAACGCACGTTTAGAGAATCAATAAATGCTGAACTGACCAAAAAAAATGTTGTAAATGAAAGTTGTGCCCACAGCCGACTTCATACTGCAACCAAACACGTGACAGTCGGAATTCTGAAGCATGTTTACACATTTGTTACGTAGAACTTCATGACAACGTCTCGTCACCAAAATACAGGTCAATTCATTCTACAGAAGTAGCGAATAACGTGGTGAAGTTCATACACACTATTTGCGAGTAACCACAAATAAAAGCCGCGTTAATAAAGAAAGAGGAGCCAAATAAAGCAGAGAATTAAGTACGATTTAAGGTTGTTACGTCTTCTGGGTTGTAGCGCATCAAGGACCTATGAAGCGTTCGTAAGCTTCTGTCCGAGTACAAGGCTCTACAACCCAGAAGACGGTTACCGAAGTGGGAAATTCTTGATCAACTTCTCTGAAACGCAAACCAATAGAAATAATAATATCAAAAATCCAGCTGATAACCGAACAAACAAGCATTGATACTGAGATTTCTGGCACTATGAGGACGACTGTCTTCTGGGATGTTGGGCGTGTAGTCTCGTAGTAAGTACCCGATGTTTCAGAGGTACTCTGTGCCCCTATCACCTCCCTGATGACTGTAGCAGTAAAAACCTCTGAAACGTCGGTAAATTTCTATGAGAATACAAGGCGCAACATCCCACAAAGCATACATCTTTAAGCACTGTAATCTATAAACACAACTTGCGAAATGTTCCAGATTTTTGTGTTTATACTGTAGCCACTTTACCTTTCTTAAGACGCTTTTTCCGCTGCCGAGGAATAGCAACACAGAAAGTGGATGACGGACAAAGAGTCCAAGCGCTGGAGCAAACAGCAGGGCAACGTCGGAGATACAGCGTCAGTGGCATGTTTGCCAGCCACACAGAGCCGCTGTGGGCAGACGCTCGGTTCGCCTATGGGACAGGGATTATGGAACTCTCTTAACGGAGAACTGCACCCAGCTTATATCCCGTTCCAATATCGGCTGCGAGATCGCGACACCGACAAAACTTCAAACACGGGAGTAATATATCAGAAATTATTTACTATCTAACACATAAGAGTGAAAATTGTAATATTATTATCAAAATACTTTTAA